CATTCTATCTTAACAAGTTTGTATATCATGTTATCTCCCTCCTTGCTATCTAGTCTAGTGTATAGGTCATCATAAACTTTCAACTTAGTCTCTCTCACTACTTTCTTGACCTCCTTATTAACCAATCTATAACTCTTAAGGTTTCCTCAGTTCTATCCTTCCGTCACTTTTTAAAGCATTTTTTTTTTTTTGCCTTAACTACCGCTTGAACCTCTTCCCTCCACCACCAAGTTTCCCTAGAGCTGGGTCCCCGTTCCTTTCGACTCTTCAAGCACTTCCCTTGAGATTCTCCTCATACAATTGGCCATCGAGTTCCATATAGTGTTAGCATCATCTTTCAAGTCCCAAGTACGTTCCTTATCCATTCTATTCTTAAATATTTTTAGTTTATCCCCTTTTAGGTCCCACTATCTCGTCCTACGACGCCCACCATCTTTCCTAGCTTGGTATTGCCCTCTAAAACATAAATCTAATACCAAAATCCTATGTTTGAGAGGTCAGGCTTTCTCCAGAAATCACCTTACAATCATTGCATTTTAGGCAGTCCACTTTTCTCACTAAGAAATAATCTATTTGGCTCATAAGTGACGCACTCTTAAAGGTTATCAAATACTCATCCATCTTCTTATACATAGTATTGGCTACCACCAGGTCAGAAGCCAACACAAAATCCATAAATATAATACATAATTAAGACCTTTAAATTTTATTGAATTTTATTAAATATAATACATAATTAAATAGTAGAGGGTCAAAATAGTCATTTTCGTATCTAATCCCAACAGTGAATAGTCCCCTACATTCTATCCCACCCCCCCTTAGGACACAATAGTCCCTCATATGGGGGACATAGAATCCGGCCAGACTCCACGTCCGACGAACTAAAAAAAAATCAAACGACGGATAAGAAACACTATTTAGATTGTAATCCAAATAGTGACAATCCCCCTCCAATATCCCCCAATCAAACACGCCCACAGTGTACTCTCCGCTCAACTCTTTCCTTATCCACACACACTCACACAGAAATGGCTTCCATGAATGCTATCTCCACCGCCTCGATCCTCACTTCTCCCAAACTGGTAATACTATCATCACAACTCTTTATCTGCTGCCGATGCATGCATCCGTGTCTATGTATGTATGTATGTATGTATGTATGTATGTGTGTATTGATTGATTGTGTTGTGTGGATTCAGGGGAATTTGAGGAGTAGGAGAGTGAATCAACTACTGCAAGGTCAAAAGATGAATTATAATGGGGAGTCCTCGAGCCGGCGGTTTGTGGTGCGAGCTGCTGTGAAGGAGATCGCATTTGACCAGAGTTCGAGGTTTGCTCTTCAGGCAGGCATCGATAAGCTTGCTGATGCTGTTGGCCTCACTCTTGGTCCTAGAGGTATAATCTCTCTCTCTCTCTCTCTCTCACTTCTTCTTCTTCTTCTTCTGTTTCTATTTTTTTGTAGAGTTAGATGTTTGTTATTTTACAATTGTGTTTGTTGATTTGTAAAAAAAAAAGAGTGATTGCATTAATGTTAAATCTTAAAGTTCGTTTGGATTGGGGAAAATAAAAGAAATGCATTTCTTTTTATTCATATCACCTGTTTTGATTAATAAAGAGATAGAGATGTGGTGAAATGGAAGGAAATACTCTTAAAATTTCCATTTTAAATCTCTCTAAGTGAAGAGATTGAGAGAAAAATGTTACTAACAGATTACTATTTTTTTTGTATTTCATGATACTAAAACTATCCCTTTAGATGTAGAAGAAATAAAAATAAAATTGACTCTTTGGTAATATTACATGAGAGTTTTTCTATTCTGAATGGAATTGTAGATGGCTGGTCAGATCAAGATCTATTGACTAAATTGTGGAATATAGATTGAATGTTGGATTAAAAAACATATAACAGTGAATCAGTATGAGAAGCTGTCTCCATTCTACGATTGATTCGTTGGAAACTCTGTGAAGCCCTCCTTCCCAGGGAGAGGAAGACAGAAAGAGAAAAAAGGTTCAGTTTAGTTCTCATTCATTGGCGGGGGGATTTGTTCTACACAGAGAGCATTTTATTGAAAAAAAGAGAGCATTTTTTTAATATATTATTGTTTAAATTTGTTAACTACTTGATTAATAATGTAATTCTATGGAAATGAAGGGTATCTCAACTGATAAAATACTTGATGTAAGGAGGCTGCTAGCAGTCAATGTAGACACATGCCACCTCACCAACTATTCTCTATGCCATGAGGTAAGTCTTGATATGCATACATATATTTATGCATGTTTATTTACAAATTTTAATTAATTATTACTTTTTTGTTTTTGTCTTTTGGGAATAGGTTAAAGGACATAGATTGAATGATAGGTTGGAGGTTGTTTCTCTAAAGCCCTGTTTGCTGAGGATGGTTGAAGGTAGGTTATGCTCATAGTCCAATATCTACGAGTCTGGATCCCCTCCAGCCTTTCCTCCTGTCAAGGGCCAAGATTTGGCCACGTCACCAGGATCAAAACCTGCGGCTCAGATCAAGCTTGGTTTAAAAAAAAAAAAAAGTTGAATTGTTTTTTATTCAACACAGAACCAGAACTTCTCTCCCTTCTCTCCCTTTCACTTTTTCTCTCCTCCCTCTTCGAAGCTCAGATCAAGTTTGGTTTTAAAAAAAAAAAAAAAAATTGAATTGCTTTTCATTCAACACAGCAGCAGAATCCTCCAACATTTAACTATATCCAATTTCATGAATAAAAAACCATTTCAGACTACAAAGGGAGCAAATTTCAGACTACAAAGTGAGTCAATTTAATGAATAAAAAAACTATTTCAGACTAAATTTCATGGTTTTTGGTTTGTATATATATATAGATTAGACTATATATATATATAAATATGACATGGGAGCAACTCTTAGATAGAGGGGAAGAGGCTCAAATCTTCGGAGTAAGACAAAGGGAGAGAGGGAGAGACCGTTGAAGTTCGCCGCTGATCGTCGTTAACCAGAGCATCGAACCGATCGTCGTTCACCAGAGCTTCGAAGAGAGAGGAGGGAAAAAGTGAAAGGGAGAGAAGGGAGAGAAGTTATGTTGTTGTTGAATCAAAAACAATTTTTTTTTTTTTTTAAACCAAACTTGATCTGAGCTGCAGGTTTTGATCTTGGTGACGTGGCCAAATCCTGGCCATTGACAGGAGGAAAGGCTGGAGGGTATGGCTGGAGAGGATCCGGACTCAATATCTACACCAATATCTATAACTAATGGTTTGTGGGTCTAGTGCCATTAATAGTTGTTGGCTTTATGAGTCACTATTTATAGGTAGACTTTTATGGAATAAGAATCTCTATAATATTTTTTTTGCAATAGTTTTACAAGAGGTCAAAATTATTTTGTAAAATTATTGCAAGAATGATTATGTTTTGAACTTAAACCATCTATTTAAATCATAATTGATAGTGTTTTGGGCTTAAACCACTCACTTAAACTAGTATTGCAAGATTATTGTAGAGAATCCAACTCTGTCTTTGATGATCCAGTGATAGCATACATTTTGTATAGTAAACTTAAATGAGAACCACTAAAAACTCAGAAAAAATAAAATTTAGAATATTACTCAAAATTTAAAATTAATGGTTGAGATTCACTCAAGATTTAGCCCTACAATGTAAAGTTTAAACACACATCATAGATAAAAACTTGTGGGGGAAAACGGGTCTCCAATCGGGTTCCCGGTTTGGGAGTTAGAGTCGGATTTTACTTTAGTCAAACTAGTTCCTTAAGAAACTTGAATTCAAAGTGTTAACGTCCCAAAATCACCAAACGATATCGGTTTAGCACGAAACTTGGCACACACGACCGCTTAGGCACGAGAGGCTTATGGGAGAAAACGGGACTCAAATCGGGTTTTTGGTTTGGGAGTTAGAGGCGAATTTCACTTTAGGCAAACTAGTTCCTTAAGAAACTTGAATACGAAGTGTTAATGCCCAAAAATCACCAAACGGCGTCGGTTTAGCACGAAACTTGGCATGCACGACCGCCTAGGCACGAGAGACTTGTGCGAGAAAACGAGACTCCAATCGGGTTCCCAGGTTGGGGGTTAGAGTCGGATTTCGGTCTAGGCAAACTAGTTTCCTAAGAAACTTGAATTCGAAGTGTTAATGCCCCAAAATCACCAAACGGCGTCGGTTTAGCATGAAACTTGGCACACACGACCGCTTAGGCACGAGAGACTTGTGGAAGAAGACGAGACTCCAATTGGGTTCCCGGTATGGGAGTTGGAAGCGAATTTCACTTTAGGCAAATTAGTTCCTTAAGAAACTTGAATTCGAAGTGTTAACGCTCAAAAATCACCAAACGGCGTCGGTTTATCACAAAACTTGGCACGCACGACCGCCTAGGCACGAGAGACTTGTGGGAGAAAACGGGACTCCAATCGGGTTCCCAGTTTGGGAGTTAGAATCGGATTTCAGTCTAGGCAAACTAGTTCCTTAAGAAACTTGAATTCGAGGTGTTAACGCCCCAAAATCACCAAACGGTGTTGGTTTAGCATGAAACTTGGCACACACAACCGCTTAGGCACGAGAGACTTGTGGAAGAAGACGGGACTCCAATCGGGTTCCCGATTTGGGAGTTAGCGGCGGATTTCACTTTAGGCAAATTAGTTTCTTAAGAAACTTGAATTCGAAGTGTTAACGCCTCAAAATCACCAAACGGCGTCGGTTTATCACGAAACTTGGCACACACGACCGCCTAGGCACGAGAGACTTGTGGGAGAAGACGAGACTCCAATCGGGTTCCCGATTTGGGAGTTAGAGTCAGATTTCAGTCTAGGCAAACTAGTTCCTTAAGAAACTTGAATTCGAGGTGTTAACGCCCCAAAATCACCAAACGGCGTCAGTTTAGCACGAAACTTGGCATGCACGACCGCCTAGGCACGAGAGACTTGTG